CAATTTTTTTTTGTATTTCAATTACCTGGCGGGCCAGAACTAGCCATATTTATCAGCCAGTTTCACTTTGTGGAGACCGTCTGACCTCGCAGTGTTAGAATTCGTTCACTTAACTGTAGGCAGGTACTTTTTTATTTAACCAAGTGCTGCTATTTGGGCGTGACGCATGTAATCCGCCACTAACGGGGCTAACTGATATATTAAGCTTTTCCCAAATCCCGTAGGAAGAAAGGCAATAATGTCTTTCCCCCTTGATAAAATTCACCAAACATTTTCTTTGTTCCAGCTTTAAATCCTCAATCTCGGGAATCTTTGCCAACACAGAATGTATGGCTCCGTCTACATCCATCTCGACCACTTTGTTTACTGTTGTGCTGTACCACAAAAGGGACCCAGACAGGCGCTTCACAGTTTTTCGCTGACTGGCCGGTGTGAGCTCTACAACTTGCGAGGTTCTTGCAAACCGTCCTGACCTAGTCGCTGGAGAGAAATTAAATTGAGCTGAGGCATTAGGTAGCGCCAAACTGGTTAGGCCAGAACCACAGGCTTTGAGAAAACTTTACAAAGGCGAGTGGATCTGGAGCTGTATCCCGTCCCCCTGATTTCAGAAGGCGTGATTGACAGGTGCATTAACCAACCAGAGAGACGCATGGTTAGTTCGCATCAAAATTAAACATTGGTAAAAAGGTGACAAAAACAACATAAAGGGCTGAGAAACAGGTTAGATTTTTGCAGAATTAACAATTTCCCCTGTGGATCAATAAACTTTGTCGAAGTCTAGTAAGTCTTCAGGCTCATGTGATACAAATTAGTGGCTGTGGTTCGGTCCTCTTAAGTTTGGACAGAGGTTTTTAACACTCTATTGTCCCTTCTGGATTCGAAAAGAACGTAAAAGGGTCTTACAACTCAAATTTTCATTCTGAAAACACAGCCAGTTTTGATTGTGTCACAGTAATTGGTCGGTCCTGGTTAAATCCTGGTTCAGATGTAATTTAGTCCTGGTGCTGTGGCTGGGAAACAAAGGGATCAAGTTTTGTTTTGAGTACGAAGTAAAAGAGAAAGAGTCTGAGCAGTGAGATCATGCATGAGAATGAAGTTTTAGAGGCTGACCCAACAGTAACACAGCTGCAATGGAGTCAGGAGAGAGAGAGAGAGCGAGAGGGAGAAGGAAAGAGAGGGAGAGAGGAAAAGAGTGTAGGCGAGAGAGATGGAGAGAAAGAGAATGAGAGAGACAGGGAGAGAGTGGAGAAGAGAGAGGGATAGGGAGACAGAGAGAGAGAGGGAGAGGGGCTAAGAGGGAGAGAGGGGAGAAGAGAGAGGGATAGGAAGACAGAGAGAGACAGAGGGAGAGGGACTAAGAGGGAGAGAGGGGAGAAGAGAGAGGGACAGTGAGGCAGAGAGAGAGAGAGAAGAAGAGAGAGGGATAGCAAGACAGAGAGAGAGAGGGGCTAAGAGGGAGAGAGGGGAGAAGAGAGAGGGATAGTGAGACAGAGAGAGGGAGAGAGGCTAAGAGGGAGAAAGGGGAGAAGAGAGGTATAGGGAGGCAGAGAGAGAGGGGGGGGTAAGAGGGAGAGAGGGGAGAAGAGAGAGGGATAGGGAGGCAGAGAAAGAGGCAAGGCAAGGCAGGCAAGGCAAGTTTATTTGTATAGCACAATTCGTACACAAAGTAATTCAAAGTGCTTTACAGAATAAGAAATACATTAAAATCATAATAAAAACAAATCAAAACATAAATAATCATGAAGATTAAAATTAAAAAAGAGAGACATAAATTGGAGAGAAGAGTGCGGAATGAAAACCTTTCAGTTATATGCACAGTTAAACAGAAATGTTTTGAGTCTGGATTTAAACAGCGTCACAGAAGAGTCTGTCTCACATGTTCAGGAAGACTGTTCCAGGTTTTAGCTGCATGAACCTGAAACGCTGACTCCCCTTGTTTAGTCCTGACTCTGGGCACCAGCAGGAGGCCGGTCCCTGAGGTCCTCAGAGTGCGAGATGGTTCATATGACACTAACATGTCACAGATGTACTTTGGTGCTCGGCTATGGAGAGACTTGTACACAAGCAGAGCTGCTTTAAAGTCTATTCTCTGAGGCACAGGAAGCCAGTGCAGAGACCTGAGCACAGGACTTATGTGCTCGTACTTCCTAGTTCGAGTAAGGACCCGAGCTGCAGCATTCTGGATGTTCTGGATGTTCTGCAGCGTCTCACAGCTCGTTTGGAGAGACCAGTGAGCAGACCATTACAGTAGTCTAATCTACTGGAGACAAACGCATGGATAAGTTTCTCCAAGTCTGCTTTAGACAGTAAACCTTTGATTTTTGCTATGTTTTTTAGATGGTAAAAGGCTGCAGATGTTATTGATTTGATGTGGCTGTTAAAGTTCAAGTCTGAGTCCATTATTACCCCTAGATTTCTTGCCTGATTTGAAGCGGCAGAGAGAGGGGCTAAGAGGGAGAGAGGGGAGAAGAGAGAGGGACAGTAAGGCAGAGAGAGAGAGGGGGGCTAAGAGGGAGAAAGGGGAGAAGAGAGAGGGATAGGGAGGCAGAGAAAGAGAGAGGGCCTAAGAGGGAGAGAGGGGAGAGAGAGGATAGGGAGGCAGAGAAAGAGAGAGGGGCTAAGAGGGAGAGAGGGGAGAAGAGAGAGGGATAGCGAGGCAGAGAGAGAGAGAGGCTGAGAGGGAGAAAGGGGAGAGAGAGAGGGATAGGGAGGCAGAGAAAGAGAGAGGGGCTAAGAGGGAGAGAGGGGAGAAGAGAGAGACAGAGAGAGAGCAGGGGCAACAGAGAGAAAGGGAGAGAGAGGCACACAGAGAGAGAGAGAGAGAGAGAGAGAGAGAAAGAAAGAAAAAGAAAGAGAATGAAAAACATACAGAGAGAGACAGAGAAGAGAAAGAGAAACAGAAAGAGAGAGAGTGCTGGGAAGTACCAAACTGCACGTGTTATATAATCCTCACCTTTTCGCTATTTTTCAGTTAGTTTTACTGCATTTCTACTCTCTCCTCTCTTCCCTCTCTCCCTCCCTCCTATCCACACCTCTCTTCCCTCGCTCCTTTCCTCCTATCCACTCCTAACTCTCTCTCTCCCTCCTCCCCTCACTCCCTCCTCTCTGCTCCTCCCTGTCCTTCCCTCCTTCCTGCCTCACCCTCCTTCCCTCCCTCTTTCCGTCCCTCCTCTCTGCTCCTCCCTCTCTCTCTCTCCCTCCCTCCTCTCCACTCCCTCCTTCCTCTCTACTCTACTTCACTCCTCCCCACTCCTCCCTCTCTCCTTCCTTCATCTCCGCTCATCCCTCTTTCTCTCCCTCCCTCCCTCCTCTCTACTCCTCCTCTCCTCCCTCCCTCCTCTCTACTCCACCCTCTCTCCTTCCCTCCTCCACGCTCCTCCCTTCCATCCCTCCCTCCCTCCCGCCCTCCTCCCTGCTCCTTCCTCCTCTCTACTCCACTCTCTCCTCTCCCTCCCTCCTCTCTACTCCTCCCTCTCTCTTTACCTCTCTCCCTCCTCTCCCTTTCTCTCTCTATGATAAATTAGTGTGGAGCCCTTGTGCTGCCCAATTCTCCAGTGGACCAGAGGAATGCGACCTCAGAAGATCACATAAAAGCGAATACAGTGCACAGTCCCGTAACACAAACATGCCTCTCCTATCTGCGCCAGTCCCAGGGCAATCCTCCATTCTTTATTAAGTGGTGTTGTAGCGTGCACCTGAGCGAGCAAAACAGACAGCTGCACACAGATCTGACATATTACGACGACCAGCATCGATGTTCAATATTATGCACTGAATATTCAAAGTAGTGTTGTAAAACTCATTCAAATCTACTATATACCCATTTTCACACAAAATTTAACAAGAAAAGTATTGCCTGCTTAAGAAAACCCAAAAACGGATGCCATTATGATTTGTTTTTTTAGTTTTTTTTTTTTTTTTTTTTTTTTTTTTTATGTTAAAATGCAAGATTCATTTACATCAAATAAAACCAGAGTTTAATGATTCAGTAACTTTCATTTATGGTTTTGTATCTTCACAAACCTCACTCTTACTTGGCCTGCCTCCTGCTTGTCTCAGTGGAAATGTTCCTTTGGCTATAATTTTCTAGCCAGGCTGGCACCACCTAGTGCCTCTGCTCAATTTCATTTCTCTCCAGCGACTGGGTCAGGAATCAGAATACACTAGACGGTTTGCAAGAACACCAGATGCTGAAGACCACACACCGGCTGATCAGCAAAGAGCTGTGAAGCCATGATGTCAAGAATGTGGTACAGCACAACAGAAAGCGGTGGATGTAGACGAAGTCAAACCTTTTTCTGAGAAGAAACCTGTCTGGGGTTACCTTTTTAGTGGTACACGCCACACTTTAAAAAAACTACTGTTAAAAAAGGTCAGACGGTTTCGACAAAGTGAAAATGGCTCATGAATCAGGCTAATAATTTTCTACAGTATGGAACTTCAGCATTTAGCGCATTTCAATATCAGCTGTTTTAAGTGATATGACGTTATTATAACGTATATAAATGTGTCTCCAAGGTGATTTAAAAACAATCACAAGACTTAAGAAAAATCCTTATTAGAGATGGAAGTCACACAATCAACCCTAATGTGTTTAAAGGGCCCATATTACACTATTTTCTGTTCTATGTTATAATATTGTTTCCTCATCAGAAATATTGCCAAAGTTGTGTTTTGTTTCATTAAGACAAGTTTAACACACAAACTCTGCATATTTAGACTGTATTAGGAAAAGACTCCACTGTGTTTTTTGATTAAATTTCAATCCTGGAATTGAGCACCACTACTAAACTAAAGGTAAAATGTAAAACTGCCACTACATGACATCACAAGGTGGAACAGAGTATTTTGAGTTTTGGAAATGTAAACAGAAACACAATTCCAGGTCTTTTTGATGAGGAAACATTATAACATGGCTTAAAGTTCACAAGTTCAATTTTGTGTATTATGGGACCTTTAAGACGAGCAAAACTGTCCGTGTGTGGTGAGTGCTTTCTTACCAAGACTCCATGTGTCCACCATTGATAGCACTCTAGAAAACAAAAGCACACAGATCTGTGATGAGTACAGTCCCTGCAGCCAGTATTAAAATAAGAGCCTTACTTTTATGCTTGAGCCCAGAGCATGCAAAGCCCCTCTACTCTCCAAAAGCACAGAAAATATATCAGAAGTGCAAAAGGTAGAATGGCCTGGAGGATGCGGATTATCCAGTGAGACTTGGTTTGATGGAGGAACAAACTAGACTGGAGTTCATAGCACAGAATATAATTGGATTTTGGACGTCCTTTCAACATTAAAATTCTACTTTAAAAATATAAGAATACACTGGTACCATGTTATTTTTTTCATTAGATTAGTAAAATATATAATCAGTTTACTGTAGTTTATAATATTATCCATATTATGTTTTTATCTTCATGCCAGATGCCCTTCCTTACACAAGCACAGTTTTTATGGCTTGTGATTAAAGTTTGATTCATTTACATGCACACCAAAATAATACAACAATAAAACAAGATAATACTTATACTTACATTAATACATAATAATAACAATTTATATCTATTTATCAGTTTATTGTGAAGATCTATATCTGATAAAGGTCTAGAAATTGGATAATTAAGATAATTTAAATGAACTGCAAACTGTAAAATCTGATGTAAGTTATCAGAGAGGGACCATGGTCAGAAAGAAATAATAAAATAATAAAATAGTTAAGATGTTTAAATGTCATTATAAAAATAAATAAATTAATTAATTTAAAAATCCAATAATAATCAGATTTTGACTGTACATGTAACTATAGCCTAAACTATTTAGCTCTGTGTTATTTCTATTGATGTGGACATTTTAAACATTACTCTAAATTTCCTGTTTTATTGTGGTTATAAAAAAATGGAGAGATTACCGGAGTGTTACTTACAAGACTCCCAACAAATATTTAGTAACATTACGGGACTATTTCCTCTTTTTGTGCAACATTTATTGGATAATTTGTTGGGGCCTTGGCACAGTCTGTATTACTGGTTTATGTCTGGGAAAATAAAACGTCTTCCATCGTTTAGTTGAGATTTAGGTTCATTTTAGTGCAGTATACCTGAAAGCTGGAAAACCTATTTTCTGTTTTAATTAGAAGCAAAGTACTAAAGCAGATCAAAAACAACCAATTTACGAGTCTATAGTTTCCATTACAGTTCATAATTCATACACCCAAATCACAAAATCAGCTTGTAAAAAGTTGTTATGAGGTGTTAAAATTATGGGACATACTTTTAACTATAATAATGATATTTTGAGGCTCCCATAGACTGTATCTATAAATGGATATAGCTAACTCCGGCTCCATCCACTCTGATCCAATTGACTTTACATTGGAAAATTGTCACCCCTTTCTTTGTAACTGCTGCAGTGAGACTCAACATGATCCTTTTTTATTTTGCTATTTTGTCCGTAAATAAAGTCCTATTCCTAATATGGACTCCAAATTTGCCCATGTAACCGCGAGCCTCGTGAGCTTCATTTGACTGGTGCTGACGTCACACTTCCTTAGTCCACTTCTTTGTACAGTCTATGGTGGTTACTAGGGGTGTAACAATATCCAAGTCTTATGATATGATATTTTATTTATTTCTTCTTGTAGTCTACACTGAAATGGAGCAAAGGATCATGGTCTATGTAGTTCCCTCTGTCTTTTTTAGCACCATAACTCTTAATTTAAGCAAAGAGACTTGTAATTCGATATATTGTGATGGTCCACGATATCACAATATTTTGGTTATTGTTATATTCCTAGTGGTTCCTCATTAGCACAGACACACCAAAGCAAAGTACTGTTTAGTTTTATACTGATCATATTTCTCCTAAAAAAGCTCTGAGAGTATATAGTAGTAGTATAGACCTACTTCTTGGTATTCTCCTCGATGTGATTGGTGTGGCTTGAAGGTCTCCGCTCTGACTTCTGAAACAAACAACAATGTTATTGACTGGAGTTACAAAATAAAACTTACAAAAGAGAACAGTTTCAATATTGACTTGAGTTTCAAAATGTCAAATATGCAGTATTGTGCAAATGTTTAGTGAGATTTGATTTCTTATTAAACTTCAGTTACGAAAAAGGTCGGTCATGAGCTAAATGCAAAATGATATTCTTATGTGATATATTTTTATTATTAGATATTTATTATGTGTTATTTATCCAGGACAGTCCAGACCAGAGGGAAGTTTAATGTTTTGAGGTTTTAAGATGTTTTAGAGGTAGGGGAAACATAGCAGACATGGGGAGAATATGCACACTCCACACAATCCAGGACCTTCTTACTGTGAGGCTATAGTACTAAGTTCTGCACCACCGTACATGTGTTTAAATGGACTCTTATTGGTTTGAGATAAACACCAAATAAACTAGTTTGACTTAAGAGTTAGTGAACAAGTGTGTTTAGCTTATTCAGGTTTTTCATAGGTGCCATTTTGAGGACTTTTGGAGAGTGATTGCAGTTCAAAACAAAATCATTCTAATTGTCATGGCTACAGTCCCAGTTTTTCACCACTTGTGCATTCTAGGACATTGATTAATTTGCCATTTTGCACCTTTTGGAGGACAGTTTTAGGACAACATTGTTACATTTGTTACCAAAGGTGGGACCAAGTCGTCGTTTTGCAAGTCTCAAGTAAGTCTCAAGTCTTTGACCACAAGTCCGAGTCAAGTCCCAAGTCAATTATAGCCAAGTCCAAGTCAAGTCTCAAGTCACTGGCCCATAAGTTCAAATCAAGTCCAAGATGTCTGCTTTGAGCTTCAAGTCATTTCAAGTCTTTAAACCAAAGTACCAAATACAGTTTAGATTTTTGCAATTGATGACTTTAAGATAAATTATACTTATAAAGTCATAGTATAGTTACATGTGAGTATTATACTATACTATACTCTATATATAATAGAATATGTAAGAGTTTTAGAAATGCATTTTTTCTTTTTAAATGTCTTGACAAGATCTTAAAGCGAATCATTACAGTTAGAATAGAAAGAATTCAGATTTAAAAGTGCTTCTCAAGTTTTCTCAAGTCACAGGCCTCAAGTCTGAGTCAAGTCCCAAGTCACTGACCTTCAAGTCCAAGTCAAGTCCCAAGTCTTAGTCCATTTTATCAAGTCAAGTCTCAAATTCTCAAAATAGTGACTCAAGTCTGACTCGAGTCCAAGTCACGAATTGCAAGTCCCCAACTTTGTTTGTTTACAGTCATGCATGGACATCAATTCTAATTCTACACTTCTACACTTCTACCTTGTACTGTTGTGTTTCAGCTTCCTTTTCTTAGGCAACATTTTGAACACTTTTCAAAACACATACTAGTTTGTTTTGAGTACTTAATTGCCATGTCAATGCCTCTGATTTTTTATAACTCTAAAACCCATGGGTAAAAGCTTCAGTAATAGGTAGATAACCTCTATAAATGCATTTACAAACGAACATGAGAACAGCTTCATTTGGGAGTTAAAATCTTCTGTGGTTAATTAAATAAAACACTACATTGTGCCATAATATGCACCATTAAGCATAACATATTTATCTAAGACCTTAGAGGCAATAATATCTCCGTGAATTAAATTTCAAGGACAAAAGCATATTCAAACAGTAAAACATTTTGATCTGTATCGCCATGACAGTGGGGTAAATGAGGACACGAACCAGCAGCCTGTCCCACTCGGCCCGGACATGTGAGGTCCTGTATCTGGGGTTGGGGACGGCCTCCAGGTATTTTGTCCTCTCCGTGTTCCACTGCAGCTCGGACCAAAAACCTGAGAGGATGCTGGCCTGGGATGAAGGGAGGGAGGGTGGAAGAGATGGAGGAGGAGGGGAGATGGAGGGATGGGAGAAAAAGACAGAGAGGGAGGAGAGAGAGGAGGGAGAGAAAAAGAGAAGGAGAGAGGAGGAGAGAGAAATGGCAGAGGTGAAAGGAGAGGGATAGAGAGCAAGTGGCGGGAGGAGGAAGGGAGAGATGAGGAAAGAGGGGTGTAGATGGAGAGAAGAGGGAAGAGAAGGAAGATAAAACAATAGGAGTGAGAAAGAGAGGGTTAAGGGACAAGGGAGAAGAAGAGAAACATTGGAAGAAAAAGAGAGAATACGCAGAAAAAGAGAGGCATAGAGAGAAAAAAGAGTGAGGACAGCGACAGACAGAGAGAATAGGAAAACAGAGGAAGTGAGAGAAGTGAGAGAGAAAGAGGAAAAGAGGGAGTGAAAGGGAAAGAAAAAAATAGAGACAAACGAGATGGAGAGAGATAACAGGACGGGACAGAGAGAGAGAAGGGGATAGATAGAGAACAGAAGAAAGGAAGAAAAAAGAGAGAAGGAGAAAGGGAGAGATGGAGACAGTACAAGAGATCACAGAAAACAGAAGGAGGGAGAGTGAAAGAAGAGAGAGGGGGAGAGAGGAAGGGAAAGATAAACAAACAAACAACTCGGTGACAGCAAGGACACTGCTGCAAAAACAATGACGAGTAATTAAATCTGTAGAGTGGACTGTTACTTAAAGAGTGCATTTTTTTGAACTCTAAAATAGCACAAGCTGCAGCCATTATCCCAAAAGGCACCTTCGAGGCATATTAAAACGCACTGCTGACTATATATTGCTGTATTGTTTCATAAAGTCCATGCAAATTAAATGTGTTGGTTATTTGAGAAAGGGGGGAAATTACGAAATCATTGTAAAACACACAGAGCAGCCTGATTAGCTAAATGATTCATATAGCAAGTCAAACATGCCTGAATATGCAATTGTTATACAGATTAGGAAAATTACATGCATAGAATTATAAATGCTATTTGGTTCCTATGTTTTATTCAACTCACTTTGCAAATGACTCCAGTCTACACCAGTTACTTTGGGCATGGGTTGGGTACTACATCGCCAATAGAAAATTAGGGGAAGTTGCTTCTTTTGAAAGGTGCATTACATAACTTTTCCGGTGGAGCGTATGTTACCTGCTTGAAGAGGACATTGCTTCACCTATAATATTCCACAGTACAGTATATTAAAATCAAGCAAACTGGTTGAGAAGATGACACAACCAGGTCAAGTTACAAGTCAGGTATTTTGAGCAGTATAAACTCTAAATGCAAAAACTGTATATTTTTTATGCTATACTGATGCCATCCATCAGAAAAGTTATGCAATGCACCTTTAATACCAAACTATTGCTACTAATTGTGTAGATGTTAGTCACAAGATTCTTACTGGAATAAATAGTCCAATAAATTAAACAACATATGGTCTCCTCTGGGTACTGGGAGACTTTTTTTCATAAAAACATGATTCAATAATACAACACACTTAAAAAGATTTCCAGAATAGAAAACTCCCACTTAATTATAAATAAAACATTACAGCTACACCATTTCCACTAACATATCAATGACTGTCTATGTCTATTGTCTAAATTATGGCAATCCATCAGAAATGTGTTTTTAAAAAGTAGGCCTGCATGTTTGGTTGAGTTTCATATATCGCGCAAATTGTGAATGAGCTGAAGCTAACCACTAAGTGCAGGAATAAAACTTAATATTTTTGTGTGGAAGATTAGACAGAGACTTTTTTCTAGCCTTTTAAATAAGTGTAATATTGACACTCTGCAGTGGCATCACACTGGGGGTGTCTACATCATTGTTTCCCAAAGACTGGGTCATAACCCTCAGGTGAGTCTCTGCACACCAACCCGCTCCTCACTTTTCAGAAGCACTGCCTTTCCTAACCAATTTTCTAAAACACTGATTACTGTTTTTCTTTGTTTAAAACTTGAGTAATACTAACTTCAGAAAGACACGATCACTCAGTCAACAATAAAATATCCTCATTAATGTTCATTAATGGTCACAAATTTATTTTGTGATTTACGAATAATGTCTATTGATGTGGGTCACGAAGATTTCTGACTTTTAAAATATGGGTGCCCACTTCTGTAAACTAATCATTACAAACTTTGTTATTCAATGACCAATCATTTTAAATGTGATTAGCACTCAATGGTTAGCATGCATTGCTTTCTAATACGTGCAGAAGGTATCACTGGTTAATCAAAAAAACATAAGCATGCTTTGACTTGACTTTTAACGGAGCACCAACCCGACTCCTTCCGCCGCTGTGTGAGTGTGACTGCTAATTAGATGAAAAATATGAGCGAGGTAAGTCAACTCAATAATACAATATGGGCATTTATTATTGATGATGTTGCTACCTTGATATTGAAGATAGTCTCTGTATGCAGCTCCGTGGTGCATTTTACTCCAGGGATCTCCAGCAAACTCTTTGGTATGTCCTGCAACACAGCAATACTATTGGTCTCTCATCCATAAAAAATACATGCAGTTTTTCAGTATTCAAGGCCATATTTTCTATATAGATATCTGGGTGCTTGGTATGTACGTTTGTAGGTACCTTCTTGTCAGACACAGAGGAGTAGGGCAGGAGTTTGTCCAGGTTCAGAGATTTTTCATAACAGATTCTGTACAAAGAGGCTGTGGGTGGAGAGGACAGACAATTTAAACAATTGTAAGAAAAGCAAAAGCAATGCATTTTTAATGAGAACAAACATAAACGTCTTTACATAAAACGCAAAATCATGTTAATGTGCATACTACAATTTGGGAGCAGCAAGCTAATTCTTGCATTATTCATCGATTTCATCTTATGCTTCTTAGAAGTTTAATATGATTGAAGTCTTTGCAGCAAGTGGCTATAGGAAGTTACTGGGTACACCCTGAGTAGTCAATTGCATGATTATTATCGAGAAATAAAGTTTTCCAGTTCCCAGAAATGGCATAAGTAAGAATTAAACTACTTACAGCAGTGCTCTCCATGGTTACATTATTATATTACATATTATTCATCATAATAGCAGTAATGATTTTTCATCATGAGAGCAGTAATGATTTTAAAACATTTTACATCATTTGTTTGAATTATCTGTAAAGGGAAACAAAACCATCCTTCTCTTAATTTGTCAGTTTTGTTTTTAGTTCTTACTTTATATCTATTGGTGATGTATCACTAATTCGTCCACAGGGATCACCAGTAAGTGTGGTCGCACATTTTATCCAGTTGTGAATGTAAAAGCAGTCTGATTTGTGTACTTTTCAATTTATCAATATAATCCTTTTTGCTCACATAAACCCCAGAACTACAATCCTTCTAGTGGATTTGGATAGTATCTCCAACATAGTATTTCCAAGGATACACATATTAAACTATTTTGGAATTTGTATGTTGCAGGACATGACCAGAGCAAATGTTCATTTGTTTACCCTTTGCTATGGTGATGCTCACAGCGTAGAGATATAAAACTGTGATTAAGTGTTGCCTGAACTGTGCAGTTATACAATAATAATGCAAAGCGTTAGCATTAGAGTCCACACTGACCATGGAATAAGGTTAATTTATATATATTGCCCTGTAGGGATATTTGACCTCTGCGTTCGTATCCTTCAATGCCTGTGAGACAATGTGAAAGAAGCAGAGGGCAGCCACAGAGCAGAGCCCATCTCCAGATCATGAACCTGATTCATTGTGAGCAGTGTCTGACGATGAGTTTTCCACTGCACTGCTGTACCAAGGGCACCTCCAGCTCGGCTCTTGTTGACATTTCTTTGCGGACAGCTCTATCAGAGAATAGAATACTCCCTACAGTTGAAGAATGAATGGCCAATAATATCACAATGTGTACTCCCTTCATGCGACTGCAAAAGTATAACGAGATAGAAGGGGGTGTCTTAATGGGGGGAAAAAAAGCTTATTTGCAGTGAAAATTAAAGTATAAAGTATAAAGAATTAATGCTTGTGAAGTCCCACAGAAGCACTGAATGCACTCTGCAATGTGATTTGAAGGAAAGGAGCCTATTATAGTTATTGTAGCGATGATGATAAATGAAAAACTCCACCTCAGTGTTCTCTACTCTATTTTTAAGGTTTAAGAGGGATCTAGCTGCTTTGACTGGCTGTTGTTAAGTGGTTTGCAAGAAACGATTGTAAATATAAAACATGCTGGAACCTTATGATTTGAGGTTTTGGAACTTAAGAGATATACTGGACTTAAAGGTCCTATAACATTACAGTAATTTAACAGTACAGTAAAATTGACTCTCGTGAGCTCTAAGCCATGTTATAATGTTGTTGCCTCATCAAAAACATACTTAAAGTTGTCTGTCTACATATCCAGTGCTCAAAATGCTCCATTCCACCTTGTGATGTCATGTAGTAGTGTAGTTATCAAGTTAACTTTTCGCTGTTAACTTTTTTAACCTTTGTTTAGTAGAGATTATCAATTACAGGGCTGAATGTATCCAAATGATTTTAGTGAAAGTGTATGGAGTTTAAAAACACAGTGGATCGCTTCCTGTATCACTACATGACATCACAAGGCGCCACAGAGTGTTTTCAGATTGAGAGAAGCCTAAATATGCAAGGAGTGTGTGTTAAACATGTTTGAAAGAAACAAAACACAACTCCAGGTATATTTTTGACGAGAAAATAACATTATAACATAGATCAGAAAACAGAGTAATATGCAACCTTTAATATCAGGCTGAATATGCTCTAGTGTATCTAGCAGAAAAATTACCCTATTTTGCATATTTTAGTTTGATGGGGAAAACTGGACATGGAGCGAAGATGTAAACTCCACACAGAAAAGCCCCATTCAACCTGGGAATCAAACCTGGCTTCATCCTACATTTGAGGGATAACCACTCTGCTACAAGGACTAAACACAAATGTAAGTTCTTCTATATTTTCCCCACATTTTAGGAATGCTAGGCAGGCACAGCAGGCATAAAATAAGCCGTTATAATCCAATCTGTTTACAAGTATTCAAGGCCCCACAATAATTCCATTTTAAACTACCCTCTTTGGAGTGGAGTCGGTGATGAGAAATTTAAGAGCCAAACAAAGGCAGTAGTGGAATAAAGTTGTGCAGTGAAGTTGTAAGACACATGCGGAGATAAAAAGACAGAGTCGGAGGATAGTGTGCCTCCTGTTCGGACTGACCTAGAATGAACTCCTGGATGTGATCAAAAGACTGGAAGGTGCTCACGCCGTCGCACAGCCATTCAATAATCTGGAGGAGAGAAATACATTAATAGTTTAACTGGGAAGATTAATGGTGTTCTCTATGAGCCAGAGGAAGAAGTGCTGCTCAAAGTGCAAATCAGAACAGGACAATCTTGTTACTGTAAAATATTCAAACTGAAGCAGACGAGCAAGTTTAACTGCTGCTGTCCAGGCCATAGAGTGAAGAAAGAAGTGGACTAAGGGAGTGTGACACCCATAGCATCCAGCTACAGCCAAATGAAGATGAAGGAGTCTAGCAATTATAGTTAAAAGGGACTACTAACTACTACTTAATTACGTAAAAAGTAACTGCAACTACTAGGACTGGGTGATATGAAAAAAAAATGCATTAATGATTTATCGGTTTGTTGTATTAAAACAAATAAAAATTGCTTTCAGTATCAATTTCCTGAACATAAAGAAGACAGACTTTTAATAATTGCTATGTAAAAATAAAAAGTCAATAGTCTGAACTCTAAACCACATTGATTTGCTGTAGATCTCTTGATTAAAAAGACCCAAGTACATTGATCCTAACTACTACTACTTTTATTTTTACCACTTCTATTAGTATTGTACTTTGCACTTGCCCATACATCTACTGCAACTACTACTATTTTTACTGTATTTAGTAGTTATAAGGAATACTATAACTAAATTACTCTAAGAACCTCATTCACTACCTGCCTAGCCCTCAAGTTAAAAAAGGCTATAAGTAACTGTAAAGAAATTAGACCTGAAACAAAAGACAACCCACAAAGTTTATTCCTGTTCATGTAATATTAAAATGTTTAGTTTCACTTCTTCTTCCCAAACAACCCGATACTGAGCCTTGCTACTGATACAGTCATTTAGTACACGCAGTTAAAGTCAGCCCCGTGGACATAATGAGGATACTATCAAAAGCAAAAGTAAATCTGCAAAGGCGTGAGTTGGAGAGGTTCATTTACACAGCGTTTTCAAGTATCTGGCGAACAAAGCAAAATGTGCCAGTAGCAATCCTGTTTCTTTTCAAGTCACTGATTTTTAGCCACTGGCCTCATTTAGAGCTGATACAAAGGACACAAAAAGCTACACTCGATGTTCAATTTCCACAATTCTTTCTGCACTAATATGAGCGGCAACTCACTTGACCTCTCAGAGAAGAAAATATGCACAATCAAAGCAGCGCTAACATCTTAGTTTCTTTTATAATGTGTTTGTGACAACGAAATAACTTCCCTGGCTTGACTGTTTGATATCTAGACGTCTTATTCTTCACACTTTTAACTCTGCTTCTAACTCATTGACCTCCGCAGCATCCACAATGAAGATCAGACCCAGTAATCAAAGAGGAAATAAATATAATGCATTAGTAAACACTGACAACAAAAAAAAGTCTAAAGTCTGAAAACTCAAGAAAAAACATGAAATGGATTTAAACAACACATTTTCAGGAGCATGGTCCTGTTTAGGTCCCTGATTTTCAACAAAAAAAAAAAGTGTGGCTAAAACTGTTGGCGAATGTTATTTGAGAGAGACTTGTTTAACAGCACAAATCAACTCTCCTGCTGTAGTTCCAACCAAGATTCTGGCCAGATTGTGTTAAAATAAAACTCAGATTAAAGTCTAACTTGGATAACAGAGCTTCAGACTGAGCAGCGCTTGCCGTTAGCTTCACACCCCCAGAGAATCGGCTTCAAAGCACTCAAATGTCAACTAATTATTCTTCATTAGTTGACAGTCGATTTGCTGCTATTGTTTATTCACATTCCATCTACTAATAATTTGTATGTACACAGCTTAATATTACTCATCATAACTGTCACCACTACTGCATTTGCAATAACAAAAGCTGCTGCTACTAAATAATAATGCATTCATCTTATAAAGCACTTTTTTCAGACACTCAAATCCCTTTAAATTGTGCGCATTATTAATTCGCTCCATAAGTGTTGGTGATAATATACTATGTCCCTACTGCAGCAACATTTATATAAGATTATAGATGTCTTGCCTAAGGGCACAACAGTATGCTCCAGAGCCACTGCCGCCCCCCTGTGGCACGTGGTATTCCCAGCAGTATCCCATCAAAGCTAACCAGAGTCTCTTCTGACAAAACACATTTTACTTCTACTTGAACTCTTTTTTTTTTTTTTTTTTTTTTTGTATTAAAGGGCTCATATTACAGTTTTCTGATCTATGTTATAACATTGTTTCCTCATCACAAAACATACCTTCAGTTGTGTTTTGTTTCATTTCATTAACACATGTTTAACACACAAATCCTGCATATTCTTCACTGTTCCACCTTGTGATGTCATGTGGTAAGACAGGAAGTGCTCTGTTGTGTCTTTAAACTCCATACATCTTCAGTAGAATCATTTGGATGATTTCAGTCCTGGAATTGCCAATCTCTACTGAACTAAAGGTAAGAGGAGCTGTTGACTTGATGGCATCACAAGGGAGTACAGAGCAATTTGAGCTTTGGAGATGTAAACATATTGGTAATATAGGGTTAATCAAACATGTGTGAATGAAACAAAACACAACTCCAGGCCTGTTTTTGAGGAGGTAACAGTATTATAACATGGCTTAAAGGTCATAAGAGTCCATTTTGTGTAATATAGGACCTTTAAGGTAAATCAGTCTTCATCCTTGAAACCCCATACTCTTTGTAATTTGAACTCAACGCTGACATCTACTTGCTGCACACTGAACTACAGGCAGAGCACAGCATTAGTCATTATCACCACACATATCAGATCCAATGTGTGTGTAAAATCATTACCCTGGAGGGAAAAGGCAGAACCGCTTCATCTGTCCTCCTTGATCCATGAACAAAAACATATCGATCTTGTGACGAACTTTGTTAAAAGAACTCAGCTGCACACAAACTAAGGATGGCACCACGACCCGGGCCACTGGCAGTAAATTTCCTTAAAATGTCACTGACTCCGCCTCCCCCTTCTTCCACTTCCCTCCCTCTTCTCAGTGTGTACCTTGAGTTCCAGATTTGGGTCGTTTCCCATGTAAACCAGCAGGCAGTGAAGGGCAGCCAGGCGCGCAGGGTCAGGCTCACAGTCGGGACACCTTGGATGGGTGATGGGACAGAGAGTAAAATTTACATTTATAACACATAAGCATATAAGAAAGAGTGCGGCAGAGACAGATGGTGTGGGAGAAAGGCAGTTGTCAAGAACTCAGCTATATGTGCATTAAAAGTTTAGGGAATATAAGAAATAAGGTTATGGTTAGGTTAAGGTTGAGCTCAACTTTTTCGCCTTAGTAGGGAGATTTGAAGTCTGGACTTGACCCATCCTTCAAAGCAGCTAGAATGATCTGTCAGAAGAAAGGGGGCAATCACACTAAAACCCCATGTCGGGCTGGGAGATATGACAAAAAATATACTGATCAATCAAAATTGTCATTTCTATTTTATTTTGTCTTAATAAAACTAAATTAAATTCGCTTTCTGACTCGAATCAGGACGTATGAGCACATAAGTCCTGCGCTCAGGTGTCTGCACTGGCCCCTGTGGCTCAGAGAATAGACTTTAAAGTGGCTTTGCTTGTGTACAAGTCTTTCCATGGCCTAGCACCAAAGTACTAGCCAGGCTGGCATCAATGTAAAAGCTCAGAACCTCCAGATTCGCTGCAGGTGTTGGGATTTAATAGCCAGGCTGGCGCCACCTAGTGCCTCCGCTCAATTCCATTTTTCTCCAGTGACTAGGTTAGGAATCGGAATACACTGTTTGCAAGAACCCTGGAAGTTGTAAACCGCGCACCAGCCAATCAGCTTTGTTTGCTGTTGTGCCGTCAATTACTTGGACACCACTGAGAGTTCCGGCGCATTACATACGTCACGACCAAATAGAAGCAATTAGTTAAATTAAAAAAGTACCCGCCTACTGTCAAGCAAACAAATCTTAATGCTGCGAGGTCAGACGGTTTCCACAAAGTGAAACCAACTGATCAGGCTACCAAAGTACATCTGTGACATGTTAGTGCCATATGAACCATCTTACACTCTGAGAATCTCAGGGACCTCCTGCTGGTGCCCTGAGTCACGACTAAACACGGGGAGTCAGCGTTTCATATTCATGCAGCTAAAACCTGGAAGAGTCTTCCTGAAGATGTGAGACAGGCCTCTACTTTGACTCTGTTTAAATCCAGGTTCTGTTTAGCTGTGCATATGATGTAAAAAGGGTTTCATTCTGCACTCTTCTCTCTTATTTAATGTCTCTCACTGTTTTTAATTTTATGACGGAGATTTATGTTTTGATTTGTTTTTATTGTGATATTAATGTATTTCTTATTCTGTAAAGCACTTTGAATTACTTTGTGGATGAACTGCGCTATACAAATAAAGTTCCCTTGTCTTTCCTTGCCTATTAATTTCATAAACATAAACACACCTTAAATCTCCAGGCACCCCTGCTTTAAATCATTGACATTTAACAACAAAAATGTATTTTTTTTCCCCAAAGTCTGAACTCTGCTACAAATATACTTCTACTGACAAAGGACTGGTTGTAGAACTTGTGTGTAAAAAGACCCAAGTTGACCCTTGACAATTAGAAATTAGTCCAGCAATTAAGACATTTCAGTGTTTCAGAAAAGTACAAAAAGAGTACCAATGGAATAAGGCAAACAGGTACAAATATATGTATAAAAGATAATTCATTTCAATTAAATTCAGATGATAGGGCTGAATAATTTGAGAAAAAATATCTAATTGCAATTTGTCTGACAAGCTTTGGAACTGTGAGTAGAATTAGAGTTTGTTTTAATAATAGGATTCTGTTCAAAGTTCACATTATAAAAGCAAACAGAAGAATTGACAAAGATACTAAAAATATGAACTGACAAAGTAATACATAAATCACATTTCAGAACATATTTGTGCAGATTTAAACTGCTGTGTTGGCAGGTTTTAAGATGAATATTTTGTTGTTCGAGGAGGAAATTATGGTACTTCAGAATTTGCAGCCTTTGCGATTTGCTAATTGCATCCATTCTAATTTGCAACAACACAGGGACAACATTCAAACTCCACACAGAAAAGCCCCATTAGATCGAGAAAGAGATTTTTGGTTAGTAAAAGTTTTTAATTACACTCTAACCTCCACTGACTTCTTAACAACCTTATCAAACATCAAGGTAATTAAGCACTTAAACAAAATGGTGTGCAGCGTTGAGGATTAGGGCGCTCATTGACTTCTCATAGTGTCAAACAGGAAGCAGTTAGTTAGTCACAATATAAATGCATTGGGTTGGATTCATGAATATTTAATTTGTCAAAAGGTTAGGAAAAGTATAAAAAGTATATTAAAAGTTGATCAATTACAGTTTTCACAACCACTTTTGTTGTCGGGTATTTTGTACCGTTTTTAACAAATTTGTAAACACCAGGTATTATGAGGATTAGTTTAAAGGTTTTACTATATTAGGCAAAATTGAGCTTTAAACAATGTTATAATGTTGTTACCCCCTCAAAAACATACTTGTGTTTTGTTTCATTCACACATGTTTGAGTAATCTCCAAAGTTCACATCTCCAAAGTTGAGAAAGCTCTGTTCCACCTTGTGATGTCATGAAGCTGTAGTTTTCATGTTAACAGCTCCTTTTACCTTCAGTTGAGTAAAGACTGACATTTCCAGGGCTGAAATTATCCAAATGGTTCTCGTGAAACTGTTTGGAGCTTAAAAACACAGTGGAGCACTTCCTGTATTGCCTCATGACATCACAAGGTGGAACAGAGTGTTTTCAGTTTGAGAGAAGAACTATACAACTCCAGGTATGTCTTTGAAGAGAAAACCATGGGCCCTTTAATTTTTATGGCAAACCAGTGACCACTTTCTATTAATTAAACTCACCATTAACACAATGTTATTCACAGCTGTTATGTTTAGTTTTACCATTGTGGGAAAAATTATCTTGGTAAATTTGAGTTTAAACCGCCCTCACATTTGCACATACTTCTGTGATGTGGGACCTGTTTTATTAGTGTCTAACAAAATGTGAATCAGAGTAATATTGTATCGACAAATCTTCTGTTGTTGCGAGTTGCCCAGAGACACAGATTAATCATTGTGAGGTAGAGCAGTTTGATCAATATATCCCCACGCTCAAAATTATGTGTTCAAAAAGTTATTACACAAAACATTGTAGCATGCACCCACATAAATACTGTAGTATATTCCTTCATAACTTGACTGGTGTTAACAAAAACACAAATACAGAATGTTTGCATGCAAGCTTTTTGTAAGGTTTAACTAGGCCTGTCAAGATAACACATTACAAACCACAATATATTGCTACAAAGAAATACTGAGGTTAACAATAATATTGAATCTACTTTATCCACTGACACAAAACAGAATAACCCCAGTAAACAATTTTAAATAAACTGTATCATTAAAAGGCTTGAGTTGAAACAAATAAGAAGTTACTTATTCAACCCTCTACAGCTCAAATATTATGTTTACTATTGTAAACTATACACTAATACACTAATGATAAATATTAAGCCTAAAAATATATAGCTAGGGTACTTTTTTGACAACTCTAATAGTTGACTGGACCATCTGATTACTTATCACTGGTTCAACACTTTTCCACTGCAGACTGAGAACCCAAAAGAAATAAGTCTACAGCAATGGTTTACACATGGATACTTTCCACACCAGGAAAATATTTGGCTTTCTACATAACACCAGATCTAAACCACATCTATAAAAGGACTAAATCGGGTCTAAATGAAGATTCAACTAATAAAAAACAGCAAAAAGGGGTTTAAAATAGGTCTTAAATAAAATTTATCAAGGTCTATGATAGTACAAACCCTATGTATGATTTTAAAAAGAGAAGGCTGAAAAGGCGAATCAAATGTATCATAATTGCATAAGCATAGACAGCAGTGGACCTCCAAAGCTTCCCACCCCACAGTCTAAGAATCATTATTGCACCACAGTATATTCTGCCTCCTTTATTTTCAACCAGTGTGCCAGGGAATTCTAGTGTGCCTTGGGGGATTGCCAGGTTTGCATTGAAAAGATGTCCACTTTGAGTTTACTCTACTGTATCAAACAAACAATTATATGATACTTGAGCATCTTGGAGTGTCCAGGGCTTTTGAATCAGAAAATATTGAGTTTAGTTCAAATGTAGTTATATGTTCTAGTTCTGGTTTAGCATCAGTTTTAGTCCCAAATTAAAGTTTTATATGTGCAAATGTGCAAACTACAATTGCAAAATCCAATGAGCCAGACATAGCAACATGGACATTAATTATTACACCTAATTCTTGAACTAATAACGTGATAGTGATTCGGTGGATGGTGTGCAGTCACATGAACTCAACAGAAACAAGCGCAGTGACTCAGTTAAGGTTGAAAAACACTGTTCTACCTTATCCCCATATGGACATTACCTATAGGCTATGTTTTGTACAGTATAGGGTGCATAAATCTAACTTACTTAAAAGCCTTGTCAGCTCTGAGTATCTGCAGCAGGTGAGCAGCACTGAGCTCTGCAGAGTGGACCCTCCCACTGCTCAGCTCCAGCAGAGATACACTGGCCTTTTCCTCCGAATGCACCACCATGACGTCGACCGTTCCCCACTGCAGACCCAAGTCCACGTCATGACCTTAAAGTTAACAAAGTAATGTCAAAGCTCTACTACACCGTCGCCTTTAGTTATAATATGGAGAGTTCTCAGAGTTACCAGAGAGAAACAGAGAGTGGCAGAGCATCTCCTGCTGCCTTGTGTTTATGAGGTGTAGGAAATAGCCCTTCACGTACACCATAATGTAGTAACCTAAAAAATAAAACAGATATTATTGTCAGACATTGTATCTTCATCGGTTATTGTTATTGCATGGAGAAAAAGGAGAATGGAATAGGGACATAAAGGTCCTATATTATGCAAAATTGACTCTTGTGAGCTTTTAACTATGTTACAATGTGGTTACTTCCTCAAAAACATACCTGGAGTTGTGTTTTGTTCCATTCACACATGTTAGAGTAACCCTTTATTTTTAGTCTGTCTACATCTTTTTGACGGGCACTTTCAGAACTGAAATTATCCAAATGATTGTAGCAAAAGTGTATGGAGTTTAAAACAAGTGGAGCACTTCCTGTATTACTGAATTATATCCCAAGTTGGAACAGAGCATTTTCTGTTTGAGAGAAGAGCTCATCCTAAATATGCAGGGTTTGAATTATGTTTGTTCATGTTTAATCTACATTTTTACATTAGTACTAAAGTACTAAAAAATACCAAATCTTCAGCTGACTCCCTCACTAAACTCTCCTTGCTGCTGCTTATACATCCTGGCTTGGGCACACTCTGATGGACTTTATGTGTTCATTTCAATTGTCCATAAAAGAAACATAATTAAATGTGTTTTTACAGTGCTTAAAGATGCACTATGTTACATTTTGGTGGTCCCCCATATGCTTGTCTATAATGAATAATAATACCCAGCTTTGTCTTTATGAAGATATATTTACTTTGTCTTCAAAATTCCTCAGCATAGCATTAAACATCTCAGTCTTATTTTCATGGAGACAAGCAGGCAACAGGCTCTCCACCAGAAACATAGTGTGCCTTTAACTATAGAAATCCACAGACAAGAGTGCAGCAACAGCGGGGACACTTCTCTTGCATGTTTTAATATTTCCTACACTCTGGGCATTCATTACTATTGGTTGTGTGTGTTCACTGTGAATACAAAAACAAATTACATGTGTCATAGTGAGAGGTAGAGCCACACTGAGCGCTTTGTTGAATTCATAACAATGTGAGAAAGAGAGAGAGGAAGAGAGAGGGAGGGTGAGAAAGAAAGTGATAATGACAGCAAAATAAAGAGAAAGAGAGAGACAGGGAGAGAAACAGAGACTGAAGGAGAGAGAAAGCGAGAGAGACACGGAGACAGCGAGACAGAGTGAGGAAGTGAGAAGGAGAGAGAGCGAAAGAGAGAAAGGGAGAAAGCTAAAGAGAGATGGAAAGGGAGAGTGTTACTATGTTTTTCTGTTTGTTCTGAACCTATGGGGATGAAGAGAGGATGAAGCTGAGCACTTCTCTCCGGTAACTCCACGCTGCCCAGAGACACATGAAACGTTTTACTGCAGCCTGTGGAAGGGCCAAAAAACAGAGATACACAAGTCAAACAAACAGTGTGTAAAAAATACACACACTTTTACACACCAAGTGATAGGAGAACATGTATTTGTTTATTATGAGTGAATGCATCTGTCAATGAATATATTTATTACTGAATACACTGAAATTCATGCTGCTGTATTTGGGCTAAAATCATAATAAGGATGGTAGACAAGGCAAGTTTTTTTTTGTAGAGCACAATTTGTACTCAAGTTATTCAAAGTGCTTTACAGAAAATGCATTAAATCACTATAAAAGCAAATACAAAAGTAAGTAATCCTTTTTTAATGATGTTTAAATTAATAATTTAAAATAGAAGAGTGCAGAATAAAATCCACCTGCAGAAGGCCAGTCCAGACAGAACTTTTTCACCTATTCATTACTATTATTAAATGTAGACTACAAACTTCATAATATACACTTTACACCAGTGAAAAATTTGGACTCACCCTCTCATGCAATGTTTTTTTCATATATTTGATGTCATCTGTATGCATATCAAAAGAAAGTAGTAAACGTATAGAAAAAAACAACATTGAGAGAGTGAGTCCAAACTTTTGACTGGTAGTGTATATGAAAATGTTATTAATGTTATAAGACTTATTCTACATATAATTACATGAATACCTTTACCTTTGTGGACAAGAGACAGAGTGTAGACCACTTCTTTGCTGTTTTTGTTCAAAGGGTGATTGTAGCAGATGCACATGCTTCCTGAGAAAAGCAAAGTGTGTCATTAATGCAAAACAACCGAACCAGTCCTCTCAAGTACGTTCGATAATTAAATACATTAGCATATAATCTCCATCTGATTAAATGCAAGTTTTGCCCAAAATAAAACATGAAAAAACTCTACATGTTATTTTGATTTGAGCATATTTAAAAGATCTGTTTTGTTTCTCAATAAGGAAGGATGTCCAATTTCTTGCACTTACATCTATTCAAATCAAAGTGCTTTAGTTTGGACAAGGCTTGCACAAAGAAGTTAATCGATTATAACAACCCAAAACACTTTTAGTTTTACTCATTACTCCTTGTTAACCAAAATTGATACTTTGCAGCTGATTTCATCAACATTCCCTGACCCTTTTCTATTTTTTCTTGAGATTTCAGATTATCTAAAAACAAAAATTAAGGATGTTTGCTAATGTGAGCATGACCGTGGTACATGAACATTCCACGATATAGACATACATGTAGAACCCCCTCAGCGTGATGTCATTGCAAAGTATCAATAAGAAAAATCACACAGGAACCACAATACCAACACAATACATAATTTAGCATTTTACCTAATACATTTAAAGGTTAGAATGTTGATACCTCATCAAAAACATACCTGGAGTTGTGTTTTGTTTCATTCACACGTTTGAGTAATGCTTTATTCTTAGTCTGTCTACATCTCCAAAGCTCAAAATGCTTTGTTCTACCTTGTTATGTAGTGGTATATTTCAAGTTAACAGCTACCTTTTACCTTTTGTTCAGTACAGAACATCAATTCCAGGGCTAAAATCATTCAAAACATTCTAGTAATTTAATCTAGTACTTTAAAACCCAGTGGAGCACTTCCTGTACTACCACATCACAAAGTGGAACAGTACATTTTCAGTTTGAGAGAAGAACTTAGCCTACATATGCATTGTTTGTGTGTTAAACATGTATGAATGAAACAAAACACAACTCTGGGTATGTTTTTGATGAGGAAACATTATAACATAGATCAGAAAATAGCCTAACATGGATCCTTTGATAGAAAAAGAATGACCTTGTTTAAAATACACCAACTCTACATTTAAAAAGTGTGGACTTACGTTCTTGTTTGTAGGGAGAAAAATGACACAACATATAACATATACATTAGTGATGTACAGTAGAAGCACAGTTCATAACCTGGGGACACATTATTTATGCATTATGCGTATGGGAAAACATGTTACCTATTCTGTCTGTGAACACTTCCATTTTAACAAGCTCCTGCTCTGGTTTCGCTGTGTGATAATGGTCGAAACCCAGATTCACAAACCTGTTGACCAAATACATAAATAAACAAAACAAGGGAGAATGATGATGATGAATGCAGCCTGCAAAAATAAACTTAACAACACCGCAGAGGAAATGTATAGGGATTAACTTGTGTTTGCCCAATCAAAGGTATTAATAATATACAGAGAAATGCGGGAAAGCTGAGACTACAGTTTTTCTGTTTGTGCTGTATGCATTGGCTTACTTGACTGCTGGGAATGAATTAGCCGGCATTTCCAATGGGAGCTCCAGCTATGGAAATAAAACACAATGAATTAAACAGAAAAAAAGCGCTGCATATCTACCCAGATGTGTTAAATGCATTCAGAATGATAATCTTTACCCAATTTAGCTTTGAACAATACAATACTTTGCTTTTATTTCAAGCTTACTTAGTTTTAATGGAGTACTTAATCGAAATTATCTAGAAAGTTCAGAATCAGTAAAAATGTCATGACACAAGTTATCATTTAAGTAATCATTTAGTTCATAGCAGCATAGATAAACTGACTTGAATCCATATTTGAAATTCAAATAATTTAACCCATGTTATTGTAAAAAACAGTGCTTTCATTGCCCAAAAGAATATGATTAATTGATTAAAAAACTTGGAGACATACCACAGTTTCACAGTAGTGATTTGGATAGAACTGCACACATCGCAGCAGGAACTTGCCCTGTGACACAAAGAAGATTTCCTGTTATTCTCAACTCTAATAATACTAGTACAACTAATGCAAAAAAAAACAACAACAACAATGAGACTATGAATGAAATGAATGAATATAATTTGCACAAACAGATTAGCTACTTAAAGGACATATGTTATGGGTACATGGTTTTCTGATCTATGATATAATGTAGTTAATATTGTTTTTGTTCCATTCAAGCATGTTTAACACACAAACCCTGCATATTTAGAGCTTTTCTCAAACAGAAAATACTCTGTTCCACCTTGTGATGTCATGTGGTAACACAGAAAGTGCTCTACTGTGTTTTTAAACTCCATACACCTTCACTAGAATCACTTAGATGATTTCAGCCTTCCCATTGCCAATCTCTACTGAACAAAAGGTAAAAGGTAGCTGTTAACACAATCAATTAATCACAAGGTGGAACAGAGCATTTTGGGCTTTGGAGATGCAGACAGACTATAAATAAAGGGTTACTCGAGTGTGGATAAAAGAAAATACAACTCCAGGTATGTTTTTGATGAGGTAACAGCATCATAACATGCCTAACAGTAAAATTCATGTAATATTGGACCTTTAAGCTTGAATGACCAAGAGTGCTGTTGTTATTTTTATAATTTTTTATTTTTTATTATTTTTTTTAATGTTTTTTTTTTATTATTATTATTTTATTTTATTTTTTATCAATATGCCATCTTGAAAATAAAGAAATAAAGATTGCTCAAACAAGCATGAATCGTTCGAAAAACAACTTCAAGAGGGTAAATAAGAAGGGGAAACAATTATAACCTGGTTAAAGTCTTTGAAAATCAGTCTTACCTTATGAGTCACATAGTACAGTCTCTGTGTGTGCCCATCCCACTGGACCCAGCAGAGGTCCTCTACAATCCTCTCTGCGGTTCTGGTCAGTCTCTCGGGACTCACCATCACCTGGGTTGAGCAAACACATTCAAATTCAGGTTTGCAGACGTTCTGAATGTTTAATGCAAAGTCCTCACAAGGATAAAAGGTGCTTTGTAGTTTTAAAAGTTGGATGTGGGGAATAAAAGCATTGTGGGCCCTGTGATGAATTACTTTGTAGTACCAATTGTTTTACCCACAGAGTCTTGGGGATGAGCAAGTTTAAAGAAAGTTATGTCTTCACAAATGTCGCAAGTCTCTCATCACAAAGTAGTTATTTAGCACTTGGAACAATGCACGAATGAACTATGGGTTTATTAAAGGGCAGGGTATGCAGCCTGCACTCTTAAAAATGACTGCAGGTTTAAAAAAGGAACTATAATCCTAAAAAAATATTAAAGCTGGAGTTTCTCAGTTTATCATTGATCTGAGCTTCCAGATTGAATATTTTACTGTAATTGTCATAGAAAACAACAAAAGTATGTTTAGAGCATCAAATATTGTGTAATATATTTGATCTAAAGTGCAATACCAAATGCTGCTGGGGTTTAGGTAGTGAGTCCTTTTAGGTTAAATAAACAGGATTTCAGCACTAAAACCAACCCAAATGGGAGACTCATGTGAGACTCATTCTACTTCTTGACTAGACAAAGATAGATTTAGATAAACACTAAATTCAACATCAGCAACTTGACTGACATGATACAGTTATATATTTTCATAATTAAAGAAAATCAACATTAGAAGTGTAATCAGTAAAAGCTATATTTGATTTAAACATGTCACCAGATAGGTCATGTTTATGAAATTTGAAATAAAAATCTTGCATACCCTAAATATAAAAGCAATGCTACTATTTAAACACTTTTTTGGTGATATAAAGAGATCTGATTAAGAGAAGAAAAAAGCACTGAATGGTGGTTTTGAGGAAGCAGAATATAGTTACAACTTTCAATCTCAAATCACCACCAACCATTCAGTCACACACTAGATTCATAAGGATGGGCGAAGTGTCTTGCAGAAGGACACAAGGACAGTATCCACTAATCAGAGCTAAAATTGAACCACCAAGTTGCCAACTACGAAACCCGAGTCAATACATTTCTGTAACTATAACTTTGACACAGTAAACATGCATTCAAATTATAATTTATACTGGATTATCTTGTCTTTTTCGAACAATACAGTAGTTAACTCTAGATTGCAACATTGTAAAGAACAGACGGACAGCTAATTGGGCCAAAAATGGTGCCAGTCTACTTTATACGCTGTTACATACTACATAGCACATGAGCATATTAAACACAGTTGAATGGGTAACTGGGGTACACTTAAACCAATGGATAAAAACCTGATTCAGTTCATTACACTCCTGTGCATTACATTTTTATTGGTAAAAAGAGACAGGAATACTTGCACAAAACTGAGCCAGATTGCGAACTGTAATTTGTATTTCTGCTGTGAGCTGGGATTAAGCTGTGGGGGTATAGGGTTCAATGTGATACTGCTTCGGGAAAAGATAGATGGAAAGATTTCTAAAAATGTTACAACTTCATCATATCTTCAATCTAACATATTTTCTACTGTGTATTGGGGATCCTGGACTCACCACTCTGTAGCCCTCCTGCCTGGTCAGCAAAATGTGGTACAGGTCTACATCTACAACAGAAGAAAAGCGGTTATTACACTGAGGAGTACATGGAGGAAGTCAATGATAGACAACTGAAAGATACAAAAAATCACTTTCCACTTTAAGTAAGATGTGTTTTATTTTAAATTCAATAAACATGACCTAACTGTGTCCTCAGATAAAGCATAAACATGTTCAAATAAAATATAGCTTTTACTGATAACAACTGTCATGCTTAATTACAAAAACACTGGACATTATGGCCATGTGGTTAAGGTTATGATTTGATATTTAGGTTCTAAAGATGATTATTCAGTAAGAATGAGAACACGTAAGTCTCTCATTTGGGTTGCCAGTATGTTGAAATTCACTTGGTTTAAAACCTTAAAGGACTCTGAATCTTGACTACATAAACTCCAGGACCTGCAGTCAATCATTAATGCATGCCTCTACTGCTGCAACCTGATGTCCATATACTGAGAAAAAAAAAAAAAAAAACTTGCATACATCTCATACAGTGGTGTAGTGGAGATTTTTTAAGTGGGGGTATGCGATTTGTGACTGAAGCATGAGGACTACACCAGGACTAAACCATGATTGAACCAAGACTGAACCAGGACTGAACCAGGACTGAACCAGGACTAAATTGGGTCTAAAACAGGACTAAACCAGGACTAATCTTGGACTTGAGAGAGAGAGAACCCCGAGCTCGCGGAGCATGGTGTCTACAAAGCACGACTGGGCGACAGCTGCACATAGCCCCGTGGGGCGCGGAGCTCTGTGCCGGTCCTTTCGCCTGCAGTCACCCGACGGTATATGCGAGCACACCTCCGGACCTGTCCCGATACTCAGTCCTGGTTTAGTCCTGGTTTAATCCTGGTTTAATCCTGGTTTAGACCTGGTTTAGATCTGGTTTAGGTCTGGTTTAGATCTGGTTCAGTCCGGGTTTAGTCCTGGTTCAGTCCTGGTTTAGTCCTGGTTTAGTCCTGGACCCTCATGTTGCAGGTCACTGTAGGACAGTGCTGTATATATCATGAGCCTATGCAGGTTGTTTTCACCATTGCCAATAGCTCCTGTTTGACATTTAAGTTGTAGCTATTTTGTATTTGTTTGGGTTTTTTTATATCTCACGTCGGGAGAAGTGGGTGGACGACGTACCTCCATGTACCACGCTCATTATGTACTAATCCTATATACCAGTATGCAGATTTAGGCCCTGGCAACACAGGTTTAGCTGTGATTATAGTATTTTTTAATAAGAGTGAAGGCTACATGCAGTTCCTTTAAATAGATACCTCATATTAGGGATGAGTAATATGGCTCAAAATCCTAATGTTTTTTTTTTTCATTCAATATTTTATTTTATATTTATATCACAACTCGCTGCAGCTCCATTTAACACATAGTAAATCCCAAGGTATTGATCTGAAGTTTCACCTCTGCTCTAAACCGCATGCATTCACTGCCACAGGATTAGCTGTAGACTTGTCAATCAAAAAGTCCCAATCATCTCTGTGACAATTCAAAAAGAACAGCTCTTGATTCAATTAAAATGTCATGAACCGCAGAACCCTATTAAATCATCACATCACCGAACCCCAATGAGAAGTTAAGGCCACATAGACTTACAGCCATCTTCAGTGAGCAGCAGCAGGTGGCTCTCCAGCACTGATCTCCTGTCAGCCTCTTCTTGATGGAGGAACTGTGCAGAGCCATAAGGGAACATGAGTTGGCGGTGAGCTGGGGCTGGCAGATGGAGGGTGTGCTATGCTAATTCTCTCATTTTAAAGCGGTATATCTATCCACGTGCCAATTTGTGCATCATTAAACGCAATGTGATATAGCTTTACAGGATTTGTACATTAAAGCCTGTCTACAAATAAACTGAAGCGCTTGTATGCAAAGGATAAGTGGGAATATATGGAAATTTGGTATATTTTCTAGTGTGCGGTAGCGTGTCTGTCAATAAGAGTTACACAGTCGTATCAGGCTAGTGCAGTGGGTCTATATAAAGTGATTCTTTCATTTACCTGCCAAGCTGCAAGAAGAATGAGTTTCAAGCTAAAATTTTCAACCAACTTTAGATTTTTTGGTTTGTTCAGTACAGATTCATAAATAACTTTCTTTGCATTTTTTTTCCCTTTTTGAGTCTACCTGAACAAATATGCTTCCAAGGTTAAAGGAGTTAAAGCTCTTATATTATACAAAACTGATTCTTGTGAGCTTTTAGCCATGTCAGAATGTTGTTACCTCCACAAACACATATCTGGAGTTGTTTGTTGTTTCATTCACACATTTCAGTTACCCTTTATTATTAGTCGGTCGACATTTCCAAAGTTCAAAATGCTCTGTTCCAGCTACCTTTTACCTTTAGTTGAGTAGAAAAGAGGAAATTCCAGGGCTGAAATTATTCACATCATTCTAGTTAAGGCCCAAGGGTTTCAAAAACACAGAGGAGCACTTTCTGTATTACCACATGACATCACAAGGTGGAAAAGAGTGTTTTGTGTCCAGGTACGTTTGTGATGAGGAAACAACAATATAGTATAAACCAGAAAATAGTGTAATACAGTATAGGCCCTTTAACACTTGTAAACAAACCACATAAAAATTGGGACTAAAATTTGACTAAACCTGGAAGTTAAACTAGACTAGACCGAAGCTAAACCAGGACTAGAACCAAACCAAGCTAGACTAAACTGGGCTCAAGCTTGAGACACAGAGCAGTAGCTGGTGACCCCCTTCTCTAGATTAGCTCAATAAAACCTGCATTTACCATTAAAACAATCTATAAAACAACATGGGAAGACAGCCTGTATAAATAAGAAGAAAAGAAGAAAATAAATTTGATGTCATCTTGAGGCTATTGTACTTTAAACTTGTAATAAATACAGAATGACACTCTATAGTCATGACGGTCCGAGACTGCATCGTCAGCTGGTGGATGTCATAAAAACAGTGAATTTGAGCAGCCATTTTATACAAAGCTTACCTGAACTTTGACCCTACAGTCCACTGCCTTCAGGACCTTTGTGTTGTTGATGGGGTGGATTTCTATGAGCAGGGTGAGGCATTTGACCACTGCAAAGAAAAATTGAATGAAACAGCAATATACATAATGTTATATCATTTTTAGACATGAAAGTATTTGTTGGACAAGTATAGCACTAAGATGTCTGATTTATGTTTAAGTGGAAACACTACAGGCAAAACATTTTTTTCAATTATTTTTTGTTTTTTGATCTTTTTTTCTCTTAGCATAAAAGCTTTCATGTGGAAACAACCAAATCGCCCACTCTGCGCTGAAAGATGTTTTAATATTTAATTTAATCAAGTTGCAGCCATAGAGTTATATGGGACATCTTAACTTCAAAGGCCGTTTTCTCAAAATGCATTTCCCCCCTGTAGGGACACAAGGATCACCCCTTAAAGTAGCACTTACAGTACATGCACCAAACTTTACAGTCGTGTACTTAACAAGATTTGAACGGAATGTACAGAAGAATTTTTTCATGTCATATTCCAAGTCTAAGTTATTAAAGTGAGGTGAAATTAGAATTTGTTGGCAAGTTTTCAGTTCCAAATATTAAATGAGATATCCACAATCCCCTATGTCTATTTTTTTTTTTTGTATATAACTTTCTGTTTTAAATGTCCCTAAAATTGTACTTTTTAGCCGTTTTTATAAAAACATTACATTATGACAAAGTGTAATACATTATTTTCCCTCAATTTGTGCATAAACAGTTAAAGTTTCAAACAGACATCTCTAAATTTAAGATTTTTTCCTCTTCACCTGCAGTGTCTCACCTTGAAATGTAGAAATGCAAATTGTAAACAACCCCGAGCAGAATTAACACATGAGAAAAGACAAGTGAACTCATAATACTAATAATACATTACCATGGGTTTGCAGAACTCTAAACTAGAAGGTTCCAATAAAAATGCAGGATATTTTGTTCTCTACAGAGGACACACTGTTATCTAATTAATTGCTACCTTTGTAAGTTGATAATTCTGCCAGCGCAAACAGCAATTTCGATTTGATTGTGCAGCCCTAATGGAGACAACATAGTACCTGGTTTGATCCCGCCAACTTCTGCTGTATTTTGTGCCAGACTCACAGCTGAATGGGAAAAAAAATACAATAAATGATGTATACAGACAGGTGCCACCTTTATACGTTTGCAGTATCTAGATAATGTTGGAGCCACAGTATTGTAAGTTCTGATGTACGTAATAATGCTCTTTCCTTGTTTAAACACTCCAGTTTGTGTTTAATTTTATTCATTCACACTTTCCTCCTCTCCTCTCTCACTCTGGGAAGAATTAACTAATCAATAGGCTCAATACAGTCCGCTATAGAACAGTCTACAGCTAGTTTCCACTAATCCATCACATTTTTGCAATTAAATTAGACTTTTTCTTACGTTTATGTACATAAAAGTGCTCAAAGTAGCTTAATTCTTTGCCAGTCTCCTGGTTTTAGAGCAATATTTACTCCAGTGTTTTTAAAGGTGCACTGTGTAACTTGGAGGTCCGTCCGACCGTTTCTATGGATATGTCACTGCTCTGCCTAGAATGTTCCACAGCATGACATTAAACTGCTCTACTTTATGTTCATTTACATATTTATTTATTTATTTATTTATTTACATGTGGTTTTATAGCTCAAAAATACTTAGAAAAAAAAGGCATTCTGGCTATGAGCAGGGTTGCCTCTCCACAGATCTGGTCTGGTTTACTCGTTATGAAGATAGAAAGGTTTAATGCCATACTGTGAAACATTCCAGACAAAGCAAAGCACACATCTCCATGGAGAAAAGCATTTGATGGACGCTCTACCAGAAAAGTTACACACTGCACCTTTAAAGGTTGGAAAACAAGCTATATAAGATGTAAAATTATAAACAAAAACATAATAGTATTCATTTAAAGGCACGCTATGCAACTTTTCTGGTTGAGGGTCTAAAACTTGCTTGTCTCTCTATCTATATATATATATATATATATATATATATATATATATATATAATAATAATATAATAATATATATAATAACATCTGCAGCCTTTTACCATCTAAAAAACATAGCAAAAATCAAAGGTTTACTGTCTAAAGCAGACTTGGAGAAACTTATCCATGCGTTTGTCTCCAGTAGGTTAGACTACTGTAATGGTCTGCTCACTGGTCTCTCCAAACGAGCTGTGAGACAGCTGCAGAACATCCAGAATGCTGCAGCTCGGGTCCTTACTTGAACTAGGAAGTACGAGCACATAAGTCCTGTGCTCAGGTCTCTGCACTGGCTTCCTGTGCCTCAGAGAATAAAGCAGCTCTGCTTGTGTACAAGTCTCTCCATGGCCGAGCACCAAAGTCCATCTGTGACATGTTAGTGTCATATGAACCATCTCGCACTCTGAGGACCTCAGGGACCGGCCTCCTGCTGGTGCCCAGAGTCAGGACTAAACAAAGGGAGTCAGCGTTTCAGGTTCATGCAGCTAAAACCTGGAACAGTCTTCCTGAACATGTGAGACAGACTCTTCTGTGACGCTGTTTAAATCCAGACTCAAAACATTTCTGTTTAACTGTGCATATAACTGAAAGGTTTTCATTCCGCACTCTTCTCTCCAATTTATGTCTCTCTTTTTTAATTTTAATCTTCATGATTATTTATGTTTTGATTTGTTTTTATTATGATTTTAATGTATTTCTTATTCTGTAAAGCACTTTGAATTACTTTGTGTACGAATTGTGCTATACAAATAAACTTGCCTTGCCTATATATATATATATATATATATATATATATATATATATATATATATATATATATATATATATATATATATATATATATATATATATATATATATGAAATTACCCTCAGTATGGCATTAAACTTAAATGGAGGAAAGCAGGTAGTCTCACCAGTTCAAGTTTCAGGTTAGATCTGAATGACACATCTCGCTCTGGATGCTTTTTTTTTTTTCAAGATTTTTCATTTTCAGCAATAAAAAACACCATAATGAAAAGCAAAATCTATCAATTAATGCAAGGAATGTCTGTCTGTATCTCCTCCTCTTGGTTTGTCTGTCTGTTCCAAGCATAACTCTTGAACCACTCGGGGTGTCATCCTAATAGGACAGGTGTGTGTGGTGTCAAGTTTCATGTTGTTAAGTCAAAAACTGCCAAAGATCTGCTATACTTAAAAGGTGCACTGTGCAACTTTTCTGATGGAGGGTCCACCACCTGCTTGTGCCCATGGAGATTTTTATTGCTTTGTCTGGAATGTTCCATGTTATGACATTATACATATCCATTTATTATTTATTCATTACATGTGTTTCTTTTGCTCAAAAATACATTAATTTCTTCTGTGAACAAGAGCGACTCTCCACAGATCTGGATTGTAATAAGGCGTAGTGCTGTGACCTGCTTGTCTCCCTCGTGATAGATATGTTTAATCTATACTGTGGAATATTCTAGATAAAGCAATAACATTTCCATGGAGATAAAAAGGTGGCAAACCATCCATCCATCCATTTTCTTCCGCTTATCCGGGGCCAGGTCGCGGGGGCAGCAGTCTAAGGAGGGACTCCCAGACTTCCCTCACCCTGGACACTTCCTCCAGCTCCTCCAGGGGGACCCCGAGGCGTTCCCGGGTCAGACCAGAGACATAGTCTCCTCCAGCGTGTCCTGGGTCTTCCCCGGGGCCTCCTCCTGGTGCTAACCTGATAAACAGGTGGCGAACCCTCCACTAGAAATGTTACGCAGTGAACCTTTGATGTCAAACTATGGAACATTCCAAGCAAAGACAAGAATAAGACTAGAATATAAAAGTTACATAGAGCACCTTTAATAGGTTTTATAACTGTATTAAGTAGCAAATAACAATATCAAGCTAAATGAATGCAAAAATCTGTTTATATTTTCTATATTAGCAAACTCACCTAACAGTGTCTCCTCCTTATTCAGGGAACAGCTGCTTACACACACCTGCTTGTCAAAGGTATACAAGAGCTGTGGAGAAAAACAAAAACAACCACTCCAGGATGTATGTCTCACTAAAACACTCCCACATAAACATTGTGCAAAACATATTGAACATTATGGTTTAATAAATATACCTTGTTTTGTTTTGTTTTGGGATCATATTTCCCAACTCTGGTGGTTCCTGTGGCTCCCTGCAAGCATGTAGAAAATGAATGGTATTTTTTTCAAAGATAATGAATCATTAAACTGATTAAACAAGACAGACAAAAAACCCACGTAATTTTGATGGTGTTTGGGCTCCCGTGGCATGTGAAAATTGTCATGCTTGACCTGTTCATTACTTGCTTTGACCTTCCTGATTAACCTAAACTGCTTCACTTCAAGTTAGTCATTTGACATCTAATTTTTCAATGATAAAATGAAACCTTTTCAAACTCTGAGAGCAAACCTTTCAGTTTTGGAGTCTATTTCAGTTTTGGACTCTATTCTTCAAAATGTGGTTTGTTGATTTGCTATTTAGAAAAGAAATTGCAGTATAATACAGTATTTATCTGTAAAATGTATTATAAGCGGCCATTTTTGTTTTTTACATCTTTACTAATTTTACTGATATCCTTTGCATTAAAGAGGTGAACTATGTAACCACCTGCTTGTTTCCATGGATATAGTATATTGCTTTGCCTGGTACATCCCACAGTATGGCAATAAACTTATCTCTCCCCAGAAATAAAAACAAGCAGGTGACACCACCAGGCATGTTAGATGACACCATGTTGTGGTGACACCACCCATAGTAGGAATGGAATTTTTCATGGTATTTTTAAGCAATAAATAAAATTAAGCAAGTGTAATGCCATACTGTGGAGCATTTTAGGCAAAGTAATATCTCCATGCAACAAGCAGGTAGCAGATTGTCCAACAGAAAAATCACATAGTGTACCTTTAACGCTATTTTGCTTTTCTGATGCATCTTACAGACCTTAAAATGACACCACTTGGACTGAAACCAAAAAATGGCTGGTTTGCAGCTTACTAAAAAAAAGGACTATCTGTGGACTTAACCTTTAAAACCCACAACTAGATTTTATGCAGCTCTGTCATTAAAAATGTATGCCGTGGAGAAGATGCAGTTGTATGGGGCGCATTTCATACTCTACCAGAGGGCCCAGGGATTTCTACAACGTCAAAGAGGTTTAAGTCAAGCAGAAAATTAGAAGAAATGTATGTACGAATACGGTTATTGAAAACATCACTACCATGTGTTATCATATCAGGGAATGTGTCCAATAGGGTGTAACACAGATTATTTTTAGTTCGTACCTTCCAGGAGTAAAGGATGCCCCCATCACACTCAATGTTTAGAATACGCGCGTCTACCTCTCCAGAGTATTCTGTGGAGGAACAATAACAGATGAACACAGGTGCATGACTGTACAGCACATACTTCTTGGAGGAAAATGATTTTATAGTATAAGAACGTACTGCAACTAACTCTAACTAACTTTGTGTTTCAAATGCCGCAGGTGATAGACAAGACGAGGAATAGCAAAATTGTACTCAGACAAGACTGAAGGTTTCCAGGCCTGACACAATAAATTATTTTTTGATTTAAGTTATATATTTCCTCATCACAAATATATCTGGAGTTGTGTTTTGTTTCATTCACACATGTTTAATACACAAACCCTGCATATTTAGCTCAGAGTTCTTCTCTCAAGAACTCTGAACTCTGACTTTTCTGATGTCATGTTTTAATACAGGTTGTGCTCCACTGTGTTTTTAAACCCCATAGACCTTCACTAGAATAATTTGGACAATTTGGACAATTTCAGATCTGGAACTGCCAATTGAACAAAAGGCAAAAGGTAGCTGTTAATTTGGAAACTACCGCTTCATGACATCACAAGGTGGAAAAGTGCATTTTGAGTTTTAAAGATGTAGACAGACTAATAAAGGATTACTCAAACGTGTGAATGAAACAAAACACAACTCCAGATATGTTCTTGATGAGGTAACACCATTGTAACATGGCTTAAAGCTCACAAGAGTTAATTTTGTGTAATACAGGACTTTGAAATAGTAGCTACACATTCCAACTAAGCATGCACCAGGTATGTTCACAAAGCAGGAGCAGAGAGTATTCATATTGTCAGTAGAGATTTAACCTACAATGGCTGCAGGCTACTGTTGTGTGCTGTCCATCCAAGTGGACACCTGCCTCACCTTTGACTCTGCAGACTGACGCTTCTTTCTTGCGCAGATCACACACCACATCTCTGTGCAGGTCGAAAGTTCGCTTTAACTTCAGCATACGTGTATACTCCAGTTTAGCTCCTTTTTCCCGCATACACATCGCAAAGAAAAGTACATTTAAAAGTCCTCACAACTTGACATGGCTTTAGTTGGTACTTCCTCCATGAGAAGTGCCGCCTTGCATTTGTCTTCTGAAAATCATGTGATCCGAGAGTGGTACATATATATCCTGCCTAGTAACACACTTGTTTCTCTACAAAAACACCTCCCCAAAACTTCAATTTATTTACACACGGAAATGTCTCACAGTTCTTGGTTCGCCCCGCCCTCGCAGGGGCAGTACGCGGACGCATTGGCCGAAAAACACATCACTCGAGCGGCCAAGAATCTCACACCGCCCCGGTAAATCTCTGCACACTTCTCTGGCACCAGGTATGACCATAGTGCCAATGCGCACGATCAGATGTTGGCTATGTGGTACAAAAACAAACCCAAACTGATAAATAAGTAGATAATAACATAAATGTATTAATATTTTCAAGTTTTTACTCAGAAAATAAATTCCTCCTGCTATGATTGATAAATTTAAATTTATTAACAAGTCAACACTGCCTCTTCGTGGTATTACTGCGAAGTGCAAGACTGTGCGTCTCCAAACGCAGGTGAAGGGAATGAAGAGGTGTAACAATGTAATGTTTTACTGCAGATTTGAGATCAGCAAAATACCCATAAAGTTATTAGTCGACATAATAATTAGTGGTGTAACACGTGGATTGGCTATTTTTTTTTAAGTGTTGCGGTATCTGATGATTTTAATTGTCTAACTTTGCGCTCTGTTTATCCAACTTTACGCATGTACACGATCTTTACTGCATTGTGTTTGGCTGGTGGGAGTCACGTGTAGGTCACATGGCTGCTCGCCGAGAGTAGCCGACAGCGTCCGAAAAGAGGCCGGGGTGCGGATGACGCCAGCCCGCCCGCCCCTCGCCCCTCCCGGTTTGTCCCCCTCGTCCTTCCCCCCTGCCCCGCTCCAGCACCGGCAGCAGCAGTGGCACGGCGCGCAACACAACACACTACTGACAGCTGCGACTGACTCACAGCACCCACAGGAGAAAGATGGAGCGCGGAGACACCGATTTCAATATAATGCTAGCGACCGATTCATACAAGGTAACAAATGTGTCTGTTTTGCGTTTTTTGGCTGGGCGGAAGGAGAATGGATGGACATGGTTTTAGAAAAGTCAAGGTGGTTTCATCATGTATCTTGAGGCCATCACAGTGCGCTCTCTGTGACCGGTGTCTGTGGGCTGAAAGCGGGGCCTAAAGCGCTGGAGGAAGAGGAGGAGAGAGCTTTAGCAGTACACGATCCAAGCGAGGTGTTCATTCAAAACGAAAGCATCCCTATTTTGGTTAGCTAATAGCAGCACGCCGCGGCTCCAGTCATCTCCAAGGCTCCGCTATGCGCCCTGCTAGCTGAATGGGCTAGCCTGTTAGCTCGCAGTCTCAACCAACACGGGACTTGATATTATAAAAGCTAATATTAGCCTGCTGCTAGCAAGTGCTCAGTGGTGGATCTATACACTGCGCCGCACATGTTTGGAAATCCCGTCTTACTCATTCATTTACTTTACTAGTCACCCTAGTGGAGCTTATTACGCATGTTTTACCATAAAACAAAACCGAAAGTAAAAACTCCGTGCCTTGGATCGCGCAGCTAGGTTATTTTAGTTCACTGTATTGAGTGAAGTTGACCGGTCAGGCGAGATAAATTAGGCGTATCGGATGGTTAACAAGGAAAGGTGAAGGTATTCCAGTGGAGTTAAAAGTCCGCCTTGTGGTTTGTGTCCTTTTGCACGTAGATGTGTTTGCTGCTGGGCCGGTTGCCATGTAATAAAGTCATGTGATGCTGTGAAGATGAGAAGGATGAGGCTGAATGAATGAAATGCTTTTTTTAAGTCCCACCCTTACACAAAATTAGCACCATGCACTCAGTGACATAATATATAAATATATTGTATGTTCTCCTATAAAATAATAATGTATATGTATGTAATATAGTCATGTGATACTGTGAATGAAATGAATGAATGAAATAGGGATGCACTGATCCTGCTTTTTCATTTCCGATACCAATATTGATACTTTGACTTTACGTATATACTAGGGATGTATCAATAGCCGAAATATCGCGATATCGTATCGTCAAAGTTCTCACAATAATATGGTGGACCATCACAATATATCGAATTACAAGTCTCTTTGCTTAAATTAAGAGTTATGGTGCAGCAATAGCTAAAAAAAAGACAGAAGGAACTACATAGACCATGATCCTTTGCTCTATTTCAGTGTGGACTACAAGAAGAAATAACAGTTCTAAGCATTTTAAAGTTTTAGTTCTTTGGGTTAAGTTTTGTCAAGGCATTTTAAGAGGAAAAAGTAGCATTTTTTTGTTAGCCTTCACAAAATATTGCAATGAATATCGTACCATGAGATGTATATTGTGAAAATATTGTACTGAGAAATTTGGATATTGTTACATCCCTAATCGTGAGCCTCCCCACCATAGCGTGAGCTTTCCAACAATATCACAATAAATATTGTACCGTGAGATTCATACTGTGACGATATCGTATCGTGAGACATGGATATCGTTACACCTCTAGTATATACCGATATCTGATGTTAAACAATACCAGTGTAGTGATGGAAAATGACACTTATTTCCTTAAAACACTATTACAAGATATTTCGCTGTGTTATGCAACTGTTATTTATCCATCACATCACTATTGACCAGCTTCATTTGAATAAAAGTTCAAACATTAAGAGACATCCTAGGCCTGTAAATAAATACCTCTTATTACATCCAATTATAGGTCCAACCAGGATATCATGGAACTGATACCCGATCCAGCTTATTTGTCAGTATCAACGATATTCAATACCAGTAATGTATTGGTGCATCCCGTGATAAGGAATGAAGTGCTTTGCTTCTGTGCGCCACCCTTACAAAATTAGAGCTATGCAGTCAGTGTCATAGTAGAGTAGTGTATACTTTGCTTATTTAGTCTATTCTTTGTCAAATTAGTAAGTACACATAACATGAAGACTATAGGTTATATGTATCGTAAAGCCTAGAAGAGAAGGTGAACAATTTTTTGTTTATGTAAGAAATTATCTAGCTACATTGCAACTACATTTACAAAAATGTCATGTAAAGAATGGGCAGCCATACAATTCTGTGATAAATTTCTATGCCTCAGTAACATAGTAGCCTTGAAAATAGTAGTAGTAGTAGTAATAGTAGTCCTATTTTTCACTTGTTTATCTAACATCCTCCAGTGTAACATTTGTTTGAACCACTGGTGGTGTTTTCTGTCTTTCTTTGTTGTTTGTTGGTATTTTGACACGTAAATTGGAGTTTTAAAAGAGCACAGTCAATTCTCTTTCTGTCTTATATTGGAGACCATATATTTTTCTTTAACTCTAAAATGCCTCAAGGACTCGGTAATGTTATATATCGAGTAAATTCTCAGCTGCACGTGCTGCTTTATTTGCAAAACAAAGTAATTGAGTATTAGTGATGCAGGCAAAGCAGCGAGTGTCAGTACAGTAAACTGGAGTTCAGTGGCGAACCAGATGATTATGAACCTTAAACTATACCATACCATTTTGTCTGGTTTCTGTATTGTTTCTGTATTGTTTCTGCATTCATTGTCTTAATGAACTAAGTAGTTACACAATTTTTTTGAGACTGTATCGAATACAAATGTAGACATTTTGGTTAGTGGGAGAAGCATCCATCATAAGAATCCTCTACAGATAAGACTAACATAATTAACAATTTCATGCATTTTACATTTACTCAAAGCACCTTTTCTGTAAAGTGAATGAACCAGAACATACCCTGTTACTTTCATTCGTTGTATGAGTATAAATTAACTCTTAATGGTGCACAGTATAATTTTTTGTGGTTGGAGGGCCCCCTATCTGCTTGTCCTAATGGAGATGTTAATGCTTTTTCTGGAATGATCTTTAGTATGACATCAAAGTTATGTAACAATATGAAGAATGCAACACTTAGCTATTTAAACACATCAAATTGAATAAATGCATGTTAAATAAGTTGCACGTCACAGTGTGTAACCACAGCAAAGCAAACATCTCCATAGAGACAAGCAGTTTGCGGACCCCATACCCCAAAATTGCACAGTGCATCTTTAATTTAATTCTGTTTTTGCAGTAAACTGATAAATACTGTATTGTTGTCACTGTTATCATCACATCTGCATATTCTTAGTTTTTCCACCCATTTTCATTTGGGAGAAGGAACACCCAATCATTTGTTTTGATTTCATACATTTCAGTTCTTTTCATAAATTAACAATCAGAACGCTTACATCTTTGATTTCTGTACTACATTGGCCGTCTTGTTGTTGTTTCTCAAAGACCACCTGAGCATGAATAAAACGTGGCGTAATATGCATGACTGCGTAATAATCTCTGTTGTGGTAGTAGCCCTCCGACCCGTGGGCCTGTACTTTGTTCACTTTACATACCAAAAACAAGTGCACCTCTTTGGCTTTGTGCTGGAGTCTGTATAGAAAAGAGGAGCCCATTCCCAAAGCCACTGTATGGAAACATGCAGTGACTGGTTCATTGTAGTGTGAGGGGACTGTCATATATGCAGCACAATAACAGGAGGGACAGTAGATAGATGGCATCCCTGAATACGTGGTTATGACTGGAGATTTACACTGTATAACACACACGCATTGTTAACAGCATTACTGAGCGTGCGTTGAATGTCACATACAGACTTCATTTATTCTGTAGCATGTTTTATGGCTTAGGAAGTTAATAGTTTAATTAATAATCAAAAGTTGAACGTGTTGCTCACCTTGTTGTTGGGCTATGATGACCAAAATTAAACAAAAGGGTGTGACCGTAGTTCTCATCATGTAATATGTGAAACACTGTAATTTTGCTTGATCATGATGAGTCGTTTTTGTTTTTCCTGGTATGTTCAACAGTGCAATATAAAACAGTTTACTACGATATAGTACAATATTTATTTTGATATTTTGTAGAGGCTGACAAAATTGTGAATATATTACTTTTGCCTTGAACATGCCTTGACAAGCCATTGGTTTTGTCATAAACCAAAGCACTAAGATTGAAAAATGCTTAATAACAGTTATTTTGTCATGTAAACTGGAATGAAACAGCAAAGAATTATTGTGTATGCAGTTCCCATCTGTTTCTTTTAGCTGTTGCTGCACCATAGCAATAATTTTAAGCAGATATATTGTGATGGCCCATGATATTATTGAGACATTTGACAATTCGACATCACGATATTTTGGTTATTGTTACAT